CAGCTTCGCCTCGCCCGCACGCACGGCACGCACGAACACGAAACCGAAATTGATTTCCCGGTAGGGGGGCTCTCCGTTCCACTTCGATCTCACCCCCTCACCTCCGATTTGGTACATTGCTCGCCGCGGGGCGATGCGGCAAGATGGCTGCCGCGGAGCACGCGCGCGCGGGCGCGCTGAGTTCTGGAATTTCTTGTCGGGCACGATCCGCGTGAAAGGGTGCGCCGAGTAATTCGGATGCCCTCGCGCGAATGCCCCGCCGAGGCCACTGGTGGGCATCCTGCAGGCGCGGCCCGTGCAAGGCGTGTCCCGAAATTGCCGGGGGCACGCCATGCGAAATTGCTTACAGGCACCATTGTTAGAGGAGCTCCCCCTGGGGCATGATTCGCGCGAACGAACTTTGTCTCTGAGCCTTTCGGTGGCGCTTCTTGTGGGCGCGATTCGCGTGATGGGGTGTGCCGCAACGGGCATTGGGGGCGCAGGGCGAACTTTGTCTTTGGGGTCGTAGTTGGAGATTTCTCTGGGCCACGATTTGTGTGCGATGTGTGCCGAAGTAATCGAGAAGGCGGGCCAGGGCCGTCCGTGGAACCCTTTGCGGGCCACGATCCGTGTGAGAGGTGTGCCGAAGTGAGCGGGGCGACGCTATGAAGCTTCATTCTGTTGCCGTAGATTCAGCTACCTGCGAAGCACGATCCGAGTGAGGGGCGTTCCGCTATACGAGCTGTGGTTCTGGGGACGTAAGTGGAGCTCCCTGTGGGGCGCGATCCCTGTGAGTGGTGCGCCGACAAGATGGGGGAAAGCTAGCCAAGCGTTTCTGTCGAACCGTGCGATAATCTATGTCCCCCAATACCACACTCTTCAGACTACAGCTAAAGATTACTAGAACCTAAACGCGCGCGAAGCGCGCGCGTGGTTCCAGTATGTATGTATGTCTGTCTGTCTGTTTGTCTGTCTGTCTGTCTGTCTGTCTGTCTGTCCGTCTGTCTGTCTGTATGTATGTATGTATGTATGTATGTATGTATGTATGTCTGTCTGTGTGTATATCTCTGTGTGTGTGTATATATATATATATCCCGTGCACGAGGACGGGGCGCCCGGGGCGGCGACTTCGACGGCGCATGGGGGGGGACCGGGGCTTTTGGGCCCCCCCCGAGACAGCCCCTGACAGCCCCGAAACGCCACCCGAGGGTCTCAGGAGGTCTCCGAACGTCAAGAGATCCCAGAATCCCCGAATCGTCGCTCCAAGACACTGAAGATGGCTCCAAGACGGCCTCCGGGAGCCCCCGCGACGGCCCAAGAGTCCCCCAAGAGGACCCCCAAGAGCGCCTCCAGAAGCAAAAGTGGCTCCATTCCCTGCTGGGAAAACGTGCATTTTTACGATATTCACATCTTCGGCGTCGACCGCGTCGAAGACGGCCCCAGGAACCCACAAGATCGGCCCAAGACGGCCAAAGAGAGTTCCAAGAGGCCTTCAAGACAGCTCCAGAGGAGCCCTCGACGATCCAGGAGGCCCCCAAGACGGTCCCAGAGGGCCCGGGGGGGGCCTCTGGGGCCCCCCCCAGGCAGCCCCAGACAGTCCCGAAACGCCACCCGAGAGTCCCAGGAGGTCTCCAAACGCCCGAGAGGGCCCAGAATCCCCGAATCGTCGCTCCAAGACACTGAAGATGGCTCCAAGACGGCCTCCGGAAGCCCCCGCGACGGCCCAAGAGTCCCCCAAGAGGACCCCCAAGAGCGCCTCCAGAAGCAAGAACGTGCATTTTAAGATGTTCGCCGCTTCGGCGTCGACCGCGTCGAAGACGGCCCCAGGAGCCGACAAGATCGGCCCAAGACGGCCAAAGAGAGTTCCAAGAGGCCTCCAAGACAGCTCCACAGGAGCTCTCGACTATCCAGGAGGCCCCCAAGACGGTCCCAGAGGGCCCCGGGGGTCCGCCGGGCCCTCCCCGAGACAGCTCCAGACAGCCCCGAAACGCCACCTGAGAGTCCCAGGAGGTCTCCAAACGTCTAAGAGACCCCCACGACAGCCCTCCAGAAGCAAAAATGAGCCCATTCCCTTGTAGGAAAACGTGCATGTTTAAGATGTTCACCGCTTCGGCGTCGACCGCGTCGAAGGCTGCCCCAGGAGCCTACAAGATCGGCCCAAGACGGCCAAAGAGAGTTCCAAGAGGTTTCCAAGACAGCTCCAGAGGAGCCCTCGACGATCCAGGAGGTCCCCAAGACGGTCCCAGAGGGCCCCAGGGTCCTCCGGGCCCTCCACGAGACAGCACCAGACAGGCCCGAAACGCCACCCGAGAATCCCAGGAGGTCTCCAAACGTCCAAGAGGGCCCAGAATCCCCGAATTGTCGCTCCAAGATGCCGAAGATGGCTCCACGACGGCCTCTGGGAGCCCCCGCGACGGCCCAGGACGAGCCACCCGCGCAAGAGGCTGGGGCGCCTCGGGCCGGGGCCCCGAGCGCGCATGGGGGAACCGGGGCCTCCGAGACCGCTCCCAGAGCACCCTGGATGGGCCGTGGAGCCCCCGGGGGACTTCGACCAGCCCCTCCAAGACAGCCCAGATAGCCCCAACGTGGCCCAAGATTGGCTCCAGACCGCAAATACACAGCCCAAGAGCCTCCACGAGGCCTAAAGAGAGTTCCGAGAGGCGTCCCGAGAGAGCCCGAAGAGGCCCAAATCCTTGATTTCCATTGTTTTTTTCATATGTTTTCGTTGTCTCGCGCTTTCGATCGAGCTTCCGACGCTCCACGACGGCCGACGACGCCCCCAAGACCGCCCCAAGACCGCCGAAGAGGCCCCCAAAAGAGCCCCAATACGGCCCAGGAGAGCCTGAAGACTGCCCAAGAGGTGCCCAAGACTGCCCAAAATAATTTTAGGATAGGCAAAAGAAGGGCCATAGAGTGGGAGCGGGAGGCCCCAAAGAGCTCCAGGACGGCCCAGATGATCCCGACGTGGCCTAAGAGGAGCTCAAAACGGAAAACACATAGCCCAAGTGGCCTCCAAGAGGGCCCAAAAGAGCTCCGAGAGACGTCCCGAGAGAGCCCAAAGAGGCCCACATCATTGATTTGCACTGGTTTGTTGGATGTTTTTCGCTTTCTCGCGCTCTCGAGCTTCCAATGCTCGAAGACGGCAGAAGACGCCCCCAAGACCGCCCCAAGACCGCCGAAGAGGCACCCAAAATAGCCCCAAGACTGCCCAAGGGAGCCCGAACATTGCCCAGAAGGAGTCCCAGACGGCCCAAAAGAGACCCAGGACAAGCCCAAACTGGGCCACAGAGTGGGAGCGGGAGGCCCCAAGGCGCTCCAAGACGGCCCAGATGGCCCGGGCCTCCCCTTTGCGTCCCTCCCGTCGCCCGTCCCCTCACCTTGCCTCCATTCCCTCCTCTCTCCTCTTCCTCCCCTCACCCCTGAGCTTTCGTGCTCCTCCCCCTCTCCTGGGACGGCCCCGCCAGAGCGCCAAACAGGCCCCGCCAGAGCGAGCGGGGCATCGCTATACCCTCTGATTTCACACGTTGCTGTGCCCCTCCCACCCCTCAAGGGCGGCCCCAGCAGAGCAAGAGGGGTGTTGCTATGCCATATACAGTCCCTGTTCTGTTTAGCTCCTCCCACCGCACCCGAGGTAGCCCCGTCAGAGTGCACGGGGTGTGGCTATACCATAATTTTCCTCGGGTTTCGTGCTCCCCCCCTCCTGGGCAAGCCCCGCCAGAACGCCAGGGAAACCCCCGCCAGTGAGAGCCCGGCATCCCTACACCATCTTCTTTCACGCGATTCTTGCTCCTCCCACCCTTGTAAGGCGGGCCCGCCCGAGCGAGCGGGGCGTGGCTATACTATACAATTTATCAGGTTTCGTGCCCCTCCCTCACCTCCTACAAGGCTTCGCCAAAGCGCCAATAGGGAACCGCCAGAGGCCCCGTCAGAGCTCCAGGCAGCACCATACATGGGACTTGCCAGGCAAATCATTGAGCATCCCCCGTGAGCCCGAACCTTGTGCTCCCACGGGTGCGATTATCGCCGGCATGAGGTTTGGCGTCCAGCACAAAGAGGCTTCCCCATTCCCGTGGACGGACTCGACAACCACTGATCGCAGAGGAAGGCATTGATGACCGGGACATTTGTGCGCGCCCTCTGCAGATACCCGACAGCTGAACGACCGCTGACAACGAGAAGCCTGGAACACAAGGAAGAGGAACAAAAAACAACGCGCGCGCAACGAGGCCCCGAGCCAACCCCGACATCAGGAACCGGCGGATGTCTGCGTGATCGGGCATGTGAAGACCGAACAGATGTGCAAAAACATTGAGTGTCACGACCGGGCAGAGCGGAAGTGAAAGTGGAGAAAAACGCAGTTCGGTAAACCAAACAAAGGCGGTAGCGAGATTGTGAGATGCGCGGGAACGTGGCGCCCGCGTTCTGCTTACGCGTTTCTTTGCGTCGATGGCATGGGCCCGAGAACGCTGAGAATCGTCGTTGTGGCCACAGCGGGGCTTACAGCGGCACCCGTGGCTCATCTGCGACTAAAACCTAAGCGCGCGCGTAGCGCGCGTGGTTCTAGTATCTATGTACAAATGTATATCATGAGACACGGTGCGACGAGGCGTCATGCTTGAAGTTTGCAGCTCAGATGATGAGTTGAACAAGAAACGCAGGGGGCGACATGCGCGCGCCCACACCCACACATATATATATATATATATATGTATAGTTATATGGATATATGCACATGTAAATACACATGTTTTTGCATACACCCAGGTGCCACACAGAGGTATGTGGATCTGATTTATGAGGGGAGAGAACGAGAGAGAGAGAGCTAATCAGATATAAGAAGGAGAGATATACATATAACAAACTAACAAACAAATATACGCATCGAGGCCGAGAAGCCGGTACAGGGGGAACAGGAGAGAGAGAGAGAGAGAGAGAGAGAGAAAGAGAGAAACAACACAAAACAAACGAGAGAGGTTGGTCTTGCACATGCTAGGGGCGCCGTTGGCATGAGAGAGCCCAAGGTCGCCCCGCCATGGGAGAAGCAGGGGGCTCTGGAGTCTGGGGACAAGAAGGCAACCGAGAAGGAGAAGGCCTGCTCAGGGGGGTGGCAATGGGGATGGGACAAGGCCATGCGGGTTGCTTCTTGATTTTGCGTGCGCGGACAATTGGTGTCACGCGGAGAGTACCACTGCCAGCGGGTACAATCAGAAACAAATTGACCTTGGACATCCACGGGAATCCATTTGCGCATTCTTGGGGCGCCGAATTGGCTTGACCGTCGCCCAGCCATGCAGTGAAGAACGCGCGCGAAAGGTTAAGATGCGCCTGGGGACGTCCTATTGGATCGCGTATCGTCTGCCCTCCTGTGAACGATCTTATGATCAGCACGTATGCGGCACAAGGGGAAGAGGAGAAGGCGGAGGAGAAGGAGGAGGAGGAGGACGACGAGGACGAGGACGAGGAGGAGGAGGAGGAGTGTCTTACGCCTATGGAGTTGAATCACGAACGTCGCGCAGGCGCGCTAGAGTGATTTGTCTGGCACGTTGAACTGATATGTTTCCAATGGCCTTCGGCCCATCCCGCCACCGTGCCTGGGTTGTGGGCCATAGGCCTCTGGGGTGTTCGTTGGGATGTCGCGGGATGCCTCTCGGGCGCCTCGTGGGGGCAATTTTGAAACCTTCGGGAGGGCATTTAGAGCCTTTTGAGGCGTTTTGGGGGCCTCTTGGGGGTCTCTCGGGGCCTCTTGCGAGCCTCTTGGAGCATCCTGGGGGGCTTCTTGGGGCGGAGAACTGGACATGTCATTTCGAGTTCCCCCTCTTGGGGCCCTCTTGGGCCCGTCTTGGGCCATCTTTGGCGCCTCTTGAGCCGCCTTGAGGCCTTCTTAGGCCGTCTTGGGACCATCCTTGGGGGCCTCTTGGGGCGATCTCGGGGGCCTCTTGGAGGCCTCTTGGGCCGTCTTGGACACTGTGAGAAAATTCAAAAGTCGTGTATGGCTGAGATGCACGTTATCCAAAACTGGAAACGGGGCGATTGTTGCCTCTAGGGGCCCTCTTGGGGGAGCTTTTGTATGCCATTTGGGGCGTCTTGGGAGCGTTTTCGTCCAACTGGGGACCGTGCTGGGCGTCTTGGACCGATCGTTCGGCGATTCAGGACCCTCTTGGACCGTCTTGGAAGTCTCTTGGGGCCCTCTTCCTGCGTTTGGGGGCCTTCTTGCGCCCGAGCAAATCACGCGACAAGACGCCCCGTTGCCCAGGGGGCATGCCTGGAGCCCAAGAAGATTTGGGAATTGGGGGTCCGGGCCCCTGAAAAAATCATCAGGAGTGAGGGCGGGGGCTCAGGGGATCGAGCAAGGGACCTGATGACACTCAAACTCGTGCCCGAGGGCACGGTGCCGGATCTTGCACCCCCCGAGCTTCAGACACACAGTAAGCATTGGCGCGGCCACGCACAATAGTTCTAGCGCTTGCGCAAACAATTTCCTGGCACAGATATTGCCAACACGCACGAATGGTCAGCCATCTGTCAACACATTCTATCACGCTTCGGGTGCCAAAGTTTAAACGTGGCACAATTCACGTCCGTGTGCCAGGTAGTACCTGTCGATGACACTGGATGCCTCTCTGGCTCACAGAGCACGGCGCTGCCATTGCACTCAGCATTGCGTGCGCACGGTTTTTTCCGTTTGGTGATATTTTCAATTTTCGGGGAGGCGTCGGCGATATGAGATGCTTGCTATTTCTAGGAGGTTCCCAACGTTTTCATTGCAATCATCACGCAGCCGTCCGATGCATGCAGCAGGGTTCGTCAAGCACACGTCTGAAACTTACAGAACGACTTGCGCCGCACACATTGCCTCGGTCGAACATTCTCAGCAGCACGCTTAGCACACGCAATCACGTTGAACAGCTGAACCCTCAAAAGCATGTGGCGCACAGGTGTCGAGATTGCCCTGCTCGATGTTGAGCTTGGGCTCAGCCTGGTGTCGGTCTGCATGTGTTGGCTTGGCGCAGGTGCCACTTCGGGCATTGGCAGGCAGTTTCCCGGATTGCTGCAGACAGAGGAGCAGCCGTCTTCCATCCCGATTAGGCTGATTGGCTGGCCCGATCTGCGCGCCGCGTCTTCCAAGCCTTGGGGGGGCGCTTCCAGGCGGAGTGGGCCATGATTGGCAAGAGGCGGGAGAACGCCCCCGAGAAGGAGAAGGCCCCCAAGAAGGATGATCCTTGGGACAAGATCGGCAGCATGCGCTCGGGCAACACCCCCGCTGCGTCCTCAGGAAAGCCAAGCTTGTTCGACCCTGCAGACAGGGACACGGGGTCATGGCGCACGGGCGGCGGCGAGTCCAGCAGGCGTTGCGCCACCCGGGGGCTCTCTCCTCCCCTCGTCTTCCCCGCCACCTGGAGGCGACTCCGCCGCAACACAAACAACAGGACAGCGGATACGAATTGTGTGCGCATAGGCTATGTTGGCGTGGAGCGACTCGTCTCCAGACCCCAGCCTGCCCTCGCTGCCCTCGAAGGCCAGGTCGTTGGAACGATAGTGCGCGCCTGCTCGCTCGCTCCAAGGGTCCCCCTGTCCCCTCCATATTTCTTTTAGGCTTTTCCAAATTCCTTCATCCCCTTCCACTGCCTCTCTCTCTCTCTCTCTCTTTTGTCATCCCTTTCTATCTCTCTCTCTCTCATTCTCTCTCTATATATATACATATATATGTATCTCTCTCTCTCTCTCTCTCTCTCCCTCTCCCTCCCCCTCTCCTTCCTGCCTCTCCTGCACATCGTCCTCCCTTGTCCACCTTGCCGACCCCCCGATCCTCCGTACCTGCTGTCATTCAGTCTCGCTGACCTTGCATGCGTCGGTTTACATGATATCCCTGTGCTTGTGCATGAGTATGCCGCTCTCGCGTTGAACTTTTATACGTTCCCGAAACAGCACTTGCACGTATGGGGGGTCTCATTCGCATTCTAAGTTGTTGGGTCGGTGTTCTGGGTTTTCGCTTGGTGGGCGCCTGTAGGCGCCTCGTGGGCGCCCCGTGCGCTGGCTGAGTCTTCCGCCCTATGGGCGTGTGTTTGTTGGGTTTTCTGGGTTTTTAGCCTGCCTGGTGCCCGTGGGTGTTTCGTCGCCGCCTCGCGCGCTGGCTGGACTGCACCAGGCCAATCGGACCACATGTATTCCTCATGTAAGTACTCCTCTTCTTCAGATATATTGAAGACGTCTGCGGCGAATCACCGCCGTCCCCTGCCATTGGGAATCGCCCATGTGGCCGAGCGTTATTGCAAGAGCTCTGCCAAGCTATCGGACCATGTGTTCCCCCAGCCGTTGTAGAAACCCTTCGGGGAACACCTGGGGCAGGATGGCGGGGAAGATCAGGAGGAGGACGAGGGGAGGGCATCTTGGGAGCCTCTGATGGCACTCCCCTGGCACGTCCGTGGCACGTCCATTGGCACGTCCCGCAGCTCTGGGGCAGCTACTATGTGCTTGGGCAGCTCGAGCTTAAGATCCAGATCAGTTCGGTCAGGACTCGGATGCAAAGGAGAACTCGATCCACAACGCCATACAGCACAATCGCGGCATGGCACATCGCGATTCAGCACGGCGCAGCACAGCACAGCTCTCGACATTGCATATCAAGATCGATACACTCAGCATTGCATTCGCCCGTTGCCCAATCAGGTGTCTTTGAAACGTTGCCATGTCTTACATTCTATGTTCCTTTCCGGGTTCGTGGGTCGATCATGTTTTTAAGCCGAGCGGGCCATCGGGATTTTATAATTGTCGTAATTTTTGGACATTTGAGGCCTGGATATGGAGGAAGTATCAGGCAGGTGGCGGCCGCGCTGGACCTTCGCGCGTGCCACGGACGCAGTGACACGCGCGACGTGCGGGAGTCCACGTACAAGTGGCCGCACCACCACTTCGGGCGCGCCCCCATTGTTCTCCACCTTGGCGATTCCCTGCAGCTGAAGCCCACGGGCAGCATCAGCCTCCTGACGGACGTGAGCGAGCTCCTGGACGACGGGTCCTACAAGTACGCGGAGCCGCCGACGGTGGAGATTCAGTGCACCATCAGGGTCATGTTTCAGATCTCTTGCCTCTTCGAACTGAAAGGTACGAAGCGCTCTGATCACGCTCTTGGGCTGCACGCGCGAGGGCAAGCCATTCCCGCCAGAGGTCTGGTCCGCCTGGGAAACGACGTTGGCCTCGGACAGCCACGGCATCCTGGACCCTCGGCGCCAGCGCGAGAACTTCCGCTTCGGCTACGGCATGGGCATCTACTGGGAGTGGCGAGGTGGATCAACGCGCGCATTCGTCGCGACGCGCGGCGTCTGGGCGTGCCCCTCGTTTTCTTGCAGGCCGTGGGCGAGTGTGACGCGATTCAGGGCGATCCCGACGCGGGCCAGCGCCTCCTGAGTGTCCCGAACATGCACAAGACGCGGGACGTCCGCGGCGCCGCACCAGCCCACGTCGGCATGGAGGTGCGATTCACGGCAGCGCAGGAAGAGTTGAAGAAGAAGAATTTGGGATTCGCGCAGGAGCAGCGGGCCACCATCGCATCCTTCGGGTTCCACCCCGAGGACGAGCAGCGGTGCGCGGAGCGCTCGCCGGGCCAGTTTTTCCGCCCCCGCTACCCACCGCAGGGAATCCGGCTGCAGGTGCGCGGCTTCGAGGAGCCCCCGATCTACCAGGAGGTCGCCGAGGTGCTGCTGCAGGGCGCCGAAGGCGCCGACGACGACGGCGAGGCCGAGGCGCGGACGAGGAGCCAGCTCGTGTTCAGGACCAGCGAGCGGGAGTTCACGTGGCAGAGCTCGGGGCCGCACGCCGCGCGCCGCTCGGGGCCCACCGTGGCGCGAGCGTCGCACCTCATCTCCGCGCTGTCGCAGGGCCAGGCGCTGCGCAAGGGCGTCGCCATCGACTGCGCGAGGGGCGAGGGCGCTGGTCGCGCGGGCACGTCGGGCGCGCAGCGGTGGCTGCACCTCTACGCCACGCTCCCCCGCGCCACGCGCATGCGGAGCACGCTGATCCTGCGGCCGTCGCCGCGAGAGTTCCTGGAGCGAGGGCCGCAGGCATCCTCGCGGAAGGCGCTCCTGGAGTTCGACGTCAGAGCGGGGAGCTCCAGGGCAGAGGCGGAGCAGCTCGCGGCAGAGCTGGGCTTCGCGCTGCCCTTCGGCCCGAGCGCGGCGGCGCCCCGCTCGGGGCCCGCGGGGCTGCCCCAACGGCGTGGTCTCGCGCGCCAGCGGCTCGCGGGTTTGCCCCGACGGCCTGGGCTGTCCCCGACGGCTGCGCGATCTCGCCGTCGGAGAACGCGCCCCTGCCAGGCGCGGCGGCGAGGGCACCGAGGAAAATCTACGCGCGCGCTCCTGACAGGAGGAAGGAACGGCGCAGGCTAGGGGGAGAACGAGCCGGGCGGCGATGAGGAGGGGGAGAACGAGGAGGAGGTGGAGGAGGGCATGGCGAAGACCGAGGAGGCGGACAGGGCGGAAGGAAACCTTCGCCAGACGAAGAAGAAAAAGGCGAGGGGCAAGCTAAATCGATTCTCGCGCGGGGTCCTACCATCGGTGTACTTCTATGGATTGTTATTATCGCGTTCTCTGGCTTCCGACGGCCCAGGACGGCGCAAGTGGCCCCAAGGTTCGCCCCAAGATTGTCCCAGGGGCTCCAAGAGGACACCAAGACGGCACAAGAGGGCCCCTGGACGATCTTGTGGGAGGTTTCTCGGGGGCCTTTCGGAGGCAGTTCGGAGGCCCCTTCGGAACCGTTTGGGGGCCTCTTGGAGCTTTTGCTGGCCTCTTGGAAGCCTCCCGGGCGCATTTTGGGGCGGAAGGCTCGTATGTTCGATCCGCGTTCCCTTGCTTGGGCCCCTTTTGGGGCCTTCTTGGGCGACTTTTGGGATAAGTTGTCATCATTCTGCTTAGGCTACATGTTCATGGCTCTCTTCACTCCTATGGAAAAAGGCAGCATCTCAAGCGAAACGCCTTCGTTTCTTTCAAACCACCATGTCGAAGACGGTGTTATGGTGCAGCGAGTCGTGGAAATTGATTGCGAGACAGAAGAGGAAATCACGAAACACTCAAAGAGCAATGCTGCGGCGAATGGTCGGTCCGAAGCGCAGGCCAGACGACGACGATGTCTCTTGGGTAAAGAGGGCGACCAAAGTGGCAGAAGACAAAGCTAGACAGGCAGGAGTCCACTGTTGGGTGGAAAAGCATTTACAGTCAAAGTGGAAATGGGCCGGACAAGTAGCGAACATGCCGAATTCCAGCTGGACGAAGCGAACGACACAATGGAGGGACGATTGTTGGTGGGGAGAACAATCCCGATGCTTCTTTTGCTGTGCCCGGTCAGATCTCGTCCGGGACGTCTCACGCGGTGGGAGGACAACATCATCGCATCGTCGCACTTGCCCAGCACAAGCACTGGACGTCGTGGATACCTGCTGCAGAGGATGTTGACCAGTGGGCGTCCTTTGAAAAAGAGTTTGTGACATTATTTTGGAAGTAATTCTCGTACTTCTGAGCATGGAGCGCGCGCTGCACTGTTTCACCGATGCCTGTGAATGCGTGTCCCATGCTTCTGGTCCTCTTAGAGGGCCAGCGCGCCCGTCGCCCGCCACTGGGCCGCCTCTAGGCGATGACGGTCTTCCGTTTCCCCTTCCGCTTGGGGCGCCTCTTGGGCCGTCTTGGGGCGCTCTTAGGCCGTCTTGGGGCCCTATTGGAGGCCTCTTGGGCTGTTTGGGCTGGTCCTGGAGGCCTTTGGGCCGTCTTGGAACGTCGGAAACCCGAAAAGACGAGAACGCCAAAATCCTGCCAAAACTGGTGGACAATCAATGTTGTTTTGCCTCTTGGGGCCTTTCTTGGGAGGCCTCTTGGAGGCTTCTCGGAGCGTTTTGGAGGCCTCTGGGGGCGTCTTAGAGGCCTCTTGGGCGATCTTTCTGCGTCTCGGGGCCTTCTTGAGCCGATATATCGGCATCTCGGGGCCCTCGTGGGCCGTCTTGGAGGCCGCTTCGTGCCCTCTTGGCCTGTCTTGGGGCCTTCTAGGGCCCGACAAATTCACGCGCCACCACTTGGCAAAGACCAGGGGGCACGCGGGAAGCCACAAGGGGCACGCGGGAAGCCCTGGGAGATTTGAGTGCGAGGGGTCCGGGCCCTTTCAAGACTCCCCAGGAGTGAGGATTGAGGCTTATGGGATTGGGCCCAGGACGTGAGGACACGCCCACTCCGTGCCCAGCGGCACGGTGGCGGACTAGAACACTGTTTTTGGTTGGTGTTTTATGTTAGCCAGCGTGGACCCCCAACAGTGACTTCTTGCAACCTGCGCGGTGCAATCTGGGTGGTGCAATCCACGTGGTGCGATCTACGTGGTGCAAAGCAATGCGCAGCAACGCGCAGCAATGCAAAGCAACACAAATCAATGCAGCGGAATTCAAAGCAATGCAATGCAGCGAAAAGCAATGCAAAACAATGTAATCCGATGCAACGCGACGCAGAGCAAAGCAATGCAAAGCAATGCGAAGCTTGCGATGCGAAGTGGGGGGTGCAGCGGGGGAGGGTGTGCAACGGGGCGGCGGCGGCGGACGGGAGTTGGGAACGCCGGGACAACAAACCGTCCTTTTCTTTAGAAGAGAGGGTCGCGACGGAGGGGAACGGAGCTGCCAGGCCAACAGGCGGGCCCAGTTCCTCGGAAGGGAATGGAGGCCCCCTTAAGGGCAAGCACTGGTTGGGGAATTATGCGCCATCGCTCATCGTAAATATCAAACAACGGCATACCAACCGTTCCCGCCATCGACCCCCATTCCTCATCTCTGCCATCTCTGCCAAATAAGAAACCGATGCGGTGCCAGTGCGCTGATCTAACAAGCTCTTTGTATATAATGCGGGGCACCTGTGCGCGCCGCCGCGCGCATATCGAAATCATCCGGCGACCGCTTATTTGTCTAACTATGTCAAGACACAGCTGCCCAAACACTGTCAAACATTGTTCTGGCTGTTCGACCGAGGGTTGCCAGACTTATGCGCGCGCAGCTACGTTGGAATCATCCAAACAGTATGGGTGTTCAGCCGCTCTGTCAACTGAGACCATGTGGGCCGCACTCGAATGCGTTCAACCATCATCGCGCGCCTGTCAATTATGCCAAAGAAGCGATTTCGGGCCGCACGCGCGGGTCTCCGCGCAAACACGTCGAACTCGTTCCAACATCACTATTGTTTCTGACCGTTTCAGCATACAGGTGTTCAAACACACGCGATGTCCAATTGCTTTGCATAAAGAATGTGCAGCACATTCTCAGCTTCTGCGGGCGTACCCTTCCTCATCATCCTCATCTGCACAATCGTTAGTATCATCGGCAGCGTTACCATTGCCATCATCATCATCATCATCATCATCATCATCATCATCATCATCATCATCATCATCATCATCATCATCATCATCATCATCATATTCGTCATCATTACTGTCGCCATTGTCATCGTTATCGTCAGTGTCGTTGCCCTCATCAAATTAAATAAAATTATGCGCGCACGCACCTCATTATCATTCTGACAATCCCCATCGTCATCAGCATCGCTGCCGTCATCGTTGTCACCGTCAGTATCATCGCCATCAGTTTCATCACCATCGTTGTTGTCGTTGTTGCCCCCAGTTGGTTTTGGTCAACAAGTTGCGGGTTGGCAGGTGGGATGTGTGCACGAGCATTGCAGATGGCCTTGTGCGAATGCGGTCAAACTTAGCTACATCACATCGATTGCGCGAATATCAGCCTCTACCCACCCTTGCTGAGGCTGGGATACACGCGACAACTCCGGGCGTTGGGTTTTCATCTTCGTTCTGCCCGACCGCTCATCAGAAATATGAGCTCTTACCATGCTAGCCAGTCCCGTTACGCTTCCCCCCCTGGTCAATATAAAATAGTATTATCCAGACCAGTCCTTTTGATATTTCCAAGTGCATGTCCAATCAATCCGTTTCGCATAGTTCTTTGCGAGCCTCACGGGCACAGATGTCGACATCTCTTTGTTCAGAAACGTGTTGGTGCCTGATTAACTTTCCAATTAAACGATCTCCATCACAGTTGTTCAGCAAAATGCGCATGTGCGCGCATGCCGAAGTCATTGGGCAATCATCGCGCGCCCGCTAGTTCTGCCAAACAGTACCAGGTACCATGTGGGCCACACGCGCGCGTCCCGCGTACACATGTCAAACTATTGAAAAACCAACGGTTGTTTTCAGCATATCGTAGTAGTGATGTTGAGGCACAGTTGAAAAGCCACCGGTTTTTTGGGGCACGTTTGCCCGATTCTCGGTGTTTTCCCGGACGGGGCCGTTGGTTTCCAGTATGATGCGTTTGTTCAAAAGCGTCCTATTGCGTAAACGGTAAGCGTGTTTGAGCAACCCGAGAGTGAACACTTGTCTCGCAGTGTTGTTGCGGGCGCCTGGAGCGATGCTGAAAGTAGAGCGTCATTCGCGCGCGTGGTGCGCATCGTGAGTTCTGGCTCCCCCTCGCAGCGTTCGTGTCCACGGGATCCCACGGAATCCCAGCGCACGGGCTGGTGCGAATCCAGCAGGTGTTGCGCTGTCGTGAGCCCCTTTCCGTCATCAGTTCCCCTCTCTTCCCTCGCTTTCCTTCCCTTTCCTCCCCTTCGCTCGGAGTCCTTCCCAGTTCCCTCCTAACTCCTTCCAATTACTTCCTTTCCCTCTCTCGGTTCCTCTTTGTCTTTCACTGACGTCTTCCCTCCTCCGCACCACCCGTCGCACCTCAAATTGACGTGGGCTCAAATGATTTGGGTCTCGTCCTGGTATCTCCACTCACTTTGGATTCCGTGCTTCACCTGAGGTGGCCGTTGGTCGCAGCAGGGGATGGCCCCCCTTTCGCGCCCGGCCCTCGCTTCTGTCCTCGGCACCTCGGCCTTCGGTCTCGCCGCAGGAGTCTCCATGGCCGGCCACGGCGCCGTCCTCGGCGCCGGCCGCGGCGGCGGCGCCCAGACGCCGGAGGAGCTGGGGTTCTCCGAGGCGGGTGACTCCGACGACGCGGACGGCTATGGCAAGTCTCAGTTCAGCGAGGAGTTTTGCTTGGACATCGGCGCGAAGGGTTTCCCGATCCCCACGTTCAAGATGCTCCAGGCGGCCAACTGGGACGCGGCGACGTACTTCGCGCAGTTGCAGGGGGCGGGGTATGCCGAGGATGCCCTGCAGATGACCGGGCCAGACGCAGCTCTTTTGAAGTCGGATTGCATGAAGGAGCGCTCTCACGGCAGGACGAAGCACATCTTCGTGGGCGATTCGCAGATGATGTCTCTGCGCAACGCGTTCCACCGCCTCAACAAGTGCCCTGAGATCTGGTGGTCCAATCACACCGAGCAGGACCTTTCTGACATGATGGGGACGGTGCGAAGGAACGAGCAGTCCAAGTCAAGGACGGGGAGCAACGCGCGCTTCTACTCCAAGGCCGAGCAGGCCCCGGGGACCGCGCAGCTGCCCCACGGCTGCACAGAGGAGGGCATTGGGTCTTTCATCCATTGGGACGGCTGGGTCAGCCACCAGCTGCCTGTGAAGGAGATCAAAAGGGAGATGGAGTTGATCGGCGTGGACCCCGCGGAGGGGGACAACGTTGTTGTCTGGGTTGGCTCGAACTTCATCCCGGCAAGGCACAGGATGACCGCCCTGCTGCAAGCCATCAACAAGCTCCACGAGATCAAGGTCAAGTTGGTGTGGGACTCGCCAGCCTACCAGGACGTGGCCCTCATGGCCGCCACGACGACCCACAGCGAGGGACGCGACGAGCGCACCAAGATCCCCATCACCTTCAATTCCATCAGCCAGCGGAAGGCCACCCGGGCGATGGGTTCGAACGAATATGCCACGGAGAAGCAGCTCTACGAGCAGGGCATCGAGGTTCCCACCACGAAGCGGTGGCAGATCACCAACCGCTACCGTGGGCTCCAGTGCGACGGCATCCACACCGACATGCGCGCCAGGGACCCCCTCTTCTACGACATGCCGTGCCCCATGGGCCAGCAGAAGTACGGCCAGTCCACCTATTGCACCTGGGTGGAGCCATTCAAAAAAGAGCTGAGCGGCCTCTGCCCGTGGGCCTACGGGCTGGACGACATGGTGCTCCAGAGCGGGCTGTACTCCATGTGCGCTGCTCACGAGAAGCCGTTCTGCTACTCTTACACCGAGCACATCCGCTGAGAGCTAGGGCATGGCACGTCGAGGGTCTGCTAGTCGTGCCTGCCGGTATCTGATACCATCACCACTCTCATCGCCATCACCACTACCACCATCGTCGTTGCCGTCACCAGTCTCACTACCGAACCCCTCCCGCGACCCGCCCGGTTTTAGACGCTCACCTGCCCGCCACCCTCTCGAGCGACCGCCGGCGACCCGCCCGCGCGCGACTCACGCTGGGACCCTCCGCGACCCGCGCCCACGACCCGGGGCCTGCGCCCACGACCCGCGCCCGCGATACACGCCCACGACCCGTTCGCGCACCGATTGCCCCCTGCCCGCGACCCGCAGGCTATTTGTACGCAGTTCTCCTTGGCGCAGCAATGTTAGCCAGCGTGGACCCCAGGCAGTGTGTTTCTAGCAATCTATGTTGTGCAACCTTCGTGGTGCAATCTATGTGATGCAAAAAAAGCGTCGCAATCTACGTGGTGCAGTCTATGTGGTGCAATTAATCTTGACCGTCTTGAAGCTGTCCTCTCCACTGCTCGTGCAAACATCCCACCCTCCCACCCGCAACTTGGTCGCAAGACCTCTTCAGACAAGACCGTGACGGTAGGTACCACATGGCACTTGGCCACGACACCGACGCCGACGACGACAGCGACATCGACGACGACGGCGCCGCCGACACCGATTGCGACGACACCGACGACGTCTCCAATGTTTTCGACGACGACGACGACACCGACGACGACGACAACGACGCCGACGACGACGACGACGACGACGACGACGACGTCGCCAACGGGGACGACGACAAGGGAGGAGAAAAAACGACGACGGCGACAACGACGACAACGACGATGGAGGAGGGAAGACGGCGACGACGCCAACGACGAAGAAGGAGGAAGGACGGCGACGCCGACGACGACAACGACGAGGGAGGAGGGAAGACGACGACGATGACAACGACGACGAAGACGACGACGACGGCGACGAAATAGGAGGGACGACGACGAGACGCCGACGACGGACGACGACGACGAGGGAGGAGGATAACGACGAGGGAGGAGTGAAGACACGACGACGACGACGACGACGGCGACGAAATAGGAGGGACAACGACGAGACGCCGACGAAGACGACGAGGGAGGAAGGACGACCACGGCGACAACGACGACGGAAGCGACGACGACGCCAAGACGACGACGACGACGACGACGAGGAAAGACAGAAGACGACGACGGCGACGACGACGACGACGACGAGGGAGGAGGGAGGACGACGACGACGACGACGCAAGAGCGCGCGCGCACGCTTTTGTTGAAAACCCGTGTTGCGAAACCTTGTGTTTTTGTAGGTTTTTCCCGGAAAGGGCGTCGGCCCAGGGTTCTCTTTTAGTATGTAAACATGTCCCCGGTGCCCAACTTGAAGGAGGCCAGCGAAATTTTTCCCTGATAAATATCGAGGTCGAAGGAGGCCGGCGAAATTATTTTTGAGGATGTCTCGAGCGAAACGCTTGTTTTTGAAATCCCGATCGATAAATCACAGGGTGCGGGCCACTTTTTCGTGTGTTGAGGATGTCTCGAGCGAAACGCTTGCTCCGCAGAGTTTGCCGAGGATGTCTCGAGCGAAACGCTTGTTTTGCAGAGCCGACCGCGACGCGGAAAAGCGCCCCGCGCGAAGGAATTTCGATGATGTCTCGACTAATTCGTTTGTTTTTGTACGATTTCCTGGAATTTTGGCAGGATGTCTCGAGCGAAATGCACGACCCCACCCTAGCACGACCATACCCCAGCACGACCACACCCCAGCACGACCAGACCCCAGCACGACCCCACCCCAGCACGACCCCACCCCAGCACGACCATACCCCAGCACGACCACACCCCAGCACGACCCGACCCCAGCACGACCCTACCCCAGCAAGACCACACCCCAGCACGACCACACCCCAGCACGACCTCACCACAGCACGACCACACCCCAGCACGACCACGCCCCAGCACGACCACGCCCCAGCACGACCACGCCCCAGCACGACCACCCCCCAGCACGACCACCCCCCCAGCACGACCACCCCCCAGCACGACCACCCCCCAGCACGACCACACCCCAGCACGACCACTACCACACCCCAGCACGACCACACCCAGTCGCACCCCCGTGGAATGTTTCGTGGCGTGTCTGGTTGAGTGGTTGCCTGTTCGTGGGGTGTCTCGTGGAATGTTTCACGGGGTGTCTCGTGGAATGTTTCGTGAGGTGTCTCGTGGGTTGTTTCGTGAGGTGTCTCCTGGGATGTTTCGCAGGGTGTCTCGTGGGATGTTTCGTGAGGTGTCGCCCAGTTGGATATCGTGAAAACGTGACCATGCTGCACATGTCTATATCCCTTTCCGGGTTCGTGGGTCCATCATGTTTGGACGGACGATTTTGAAATCCTTCCGAAACCGAAGGATTTTGAAGGATTTCGGCATACGCCCGCGACGACGCGCGCGTCTGCACTTCGTTTTTCCCGGAAAGGGCGTGGGCCCAGGGTTCTCTTTTAGTAGGTAAACCTGTCCCCCGGTGCCAACTTGAGGGAGGCCGGCGAATTTTTTCCCTGATAAATAACGAGGTCGAAGGAGGCCGGCGAATTAAAATTTGAGGATGTCTCGAGCGAAACGCTTGTTTTTGAAATCCCGATCGATAAATCACAGGGTGCGGGCCACTTTTTCGTGTGTTGAGGATGTCTCGAGCGAAACGCTTGCTCCGCAGAGTTTGCCGAGGATGTCTCGAGCGAAACGCTTGTTTTGCAGAGCCGACCGCGACGCGGAAAAGCGCCCCGCGCGAAGGAATTTCGATGATGTCTCGACTAATTCCTTTGTTTTTGTACGATTTCCTGGAATTTTGGCAGGATGTCTCGAGCGAAATGCACGACCCCACCCTAGCACGACCATACCCCAGCACGACCACACCCCAGCACGACCAGACCCCAGCACGACCCCACCCCAGCACGACCCCACCCCAGCACGACCATACCCCAGCACGACCACACCCCAGCACGACCCGACCCCAGCACGACCCTACCCCAGCAAGACCACACCCCAGCACGACCACACCCCAGCACGACCTCACCACAGCACGACCGACACCCCAGCACGACCACGCCCCAGCACGACCACGCCCCAGCACGACCACCACCCCCCCAGCACGACCACCCCCCAGCACGACCACCCCCCAGCACGACCACCCCCAGCACGACCACACCCCAGCACGACCACACCCCAGCACGACCACACCCCAGCACGACCACACCCCAGCACGACCCGATCGATAAATCACAGGGTGCGGACCACCCCAGCACGACCACCCCAGCACGACCCCACCCCAGCACGACCACGCCCCAGCACGACCACACCCCAGCACGACCACACCCCAGCACGACCACACCCCAGCACGACCCCACCCCAGCACGACCCCACCCTAGCACGACCACACCCCAGCACGACCACACCCCAGCACGACCACACCCCAGCACGACCCCACCCCAGCACGACCCCACCACAGCACGACCACCCCCCAGCACGACCACACCCCAGCACGACCACACCCCAGCACGACCCCACCCCAGCAAGACCACACCCCAGCACGACCACACCCCAGCACGACCTCACCACAGCACGACCACACCCCAGCACGACCACGCCCCAGCACGACCACGCCCCAGCACGACCACGCCCCAGCACGACCACCCCCCAGCACGACCACCCCCCTAGCACGACCACCCCCCAGCACGACCACACCCCAGCACGACCACACCCCAGCACGACCACACCCCAACACGACCATACTCCAGCACGACCACACCCCAGCACGACCACACCCAGTCGCACCCCCGTGGAATGTTTCGTGGGGTGTCTGGTTGAGTGGTTGCCTGTTCGTGGGGTGTCTCGTGGAATGTTTCACGGGGTGTCTCGTGGAATGTTTCGTGAGGTGTCTCGTGGGTTGTTTCGTGAGGTGTCTCCTGGGATGTTTCGCGGGGTGTCTCGTGGGATGTTTCGTGAGGTGTCGCCCAGTTGGATATCGTGAAAACGTGACCATGCTGCACATGTCTATATCCCTTTCCGGGTTCGTGGGTCCATCATTTCTTTTGCAGAGGATTCTTGCGACGGCACACGCGCAAGGGCGTTCGACAGATTTCGACATGCGCGCGCGAAGCCCGTTTGGTGGCATTTTGTGAAAATCTTGAAGAACCTATGGTTTTCTTAAGATTTCGCAAGAGCTCGCGCGTAATCTTTTTTAGCAAATCAGTGTTGCGAAACCCTGTGTTTTTGCATGCTTTTTGGAACTTCAATTTTGAAATCTCTCCGGAACCGAAGGTTTTTGAAGGATTTCGGCTTGCGCGCGCGACGACGCGCGCGTGCGCACTTCGTCTTTTTTTCGCAAGGGATTCGTGAAAAAAAGTGCTACGCTAGAGCCACAAATGTCACCTCATAGTGTTTTTCCCGGAAAGGGCCTGAGCCCAGGGTTCTCTTTTAGTTGGTTTCCCCCCGGTTTTGACGGCTGTAGGGCCGGCGAATTTCTTTTGCGATAAATAACGAGGTCGCGTAGGGCCGGCGAATTATAAATTGAGGATGTCTCAAGCGAAATGCTTGTTTTTCAGAATTTGTTGAGGATGTCTCGAGCGAAACGCTGGTTTTGCAGAGTTGGGGATGTCTCGAGCGAAACGCTTGTTTTCAGAATTTGTTGAGGATGTCTCGAGCGAAACGCTGGTTTTGCAGAGCCGACCGCGACACGGAAAAGCGCCCCGCGTAGGAATTCCGAGGATGTCTCGCGCGTGCCGCGTCCCGCGCGCAGGAATTTCGAGGACGTCTCGACTAATTCGTTTGTTTTTCCAGGATTTCCGTGATTTCTGAGGATGTCTCAAGCGAAACGCTTGTGTTTCAGAATTGGTTGAGGATGTCTCGAGCGAAACGCTGGTTTTGCAGAGTTGGGGGATGTCTCGAGCGAAACGCTTGTTTTTCGGAATTTGTTGAGGATGTCTC